CGGCCGGGGGCGCGCGCCCCTGAGTTTGCAGAGGACCCGGGCGCGCGGAGAGAATGGCCCAAAGTTTTGTCTCCCGAGTGGGACGCCGAGGTGGAGCTCAGAGTTGGGAGTCTCGGAGTGGGAGCTGGTGGGGAGTGGCGGAGCTGTGGGTCCGGAGTTGCTCGGCGCTGGAAAGCGGGACGAGGTTGGGTGGGCTCGGGTGCGCGCCCGGAGCTTGAGATCGCACCCCGCGCGAGGAACGGAGGCGGGGAGCCTGGATGAATGTGCAGAACCTGACGGTGCTCACTTATGCAGTGAGGGATAACGAACCGCAAAGGGCAGGGGCGTGCAAGTGGTTTTGAGGGAACGAGGAGTCCAAAGGACTTCTTGGGTTAAAACTAATGGACTGGAGAGACCTCTGCATGCCCCTCAGGGTCAATGCCAAGAAAATGATTTTTTTGTTGTTGTTGTTTTAAGCCAGCAGTATTTATCCAGAGTGGATGCCCACAGTTAGAGGAAAAATAGGAAGCGGTAAGAAACTAAGTTGCCAGTGATAAATGGCGTAAAAAAGTATTTGTAATACAGTAACTGCATGGTACGAGTATGCACGACTGTGCTTTTAGACTTTCCTCGCTTGGTAAACAGTTTATCTTACAGAGTGGAGTTGGGAATGGGCTCGTTAGTTCCTCGGATTTAGATTTAAACCCTTGAGCCGAGGGTACAAGAGGGGAGTTTGCAGAATTCAATGCAAAGCTATTCTTCAGAAGGTTATCAGAGTTGTCGTGCTGACTGGGACTTGGTCCTGTCCCGAAGTCAGGATTTAATCACTCCTCTTTCGGCAGTTCTTCGCCTTAGGACTCATCCACGTTTAAGATACTGCCTAAAAAACAGCCTCAGAAATAGGTAGTTTGCAAGGACGACCGTAATTCCTCTTGTTTCCTTAGTTTTACTTGTTGCAATGTGTTATCATTTGTTAAAAAAGAAATTGTAAGTTCTATTTTTGTGGTTAGCTACAAGTCTGTGATCCCGGAAGGTTGACAAACCAGTTTGCATGCCCTTGTGAGCACATTCGAAAAAAATAATATGCACTACTAAAACTTGATATTGTTAAATATGCAAAAAATGCCATTTAGGTTGTAGTTATGCTTAATAGCGATGATGCTAAACTTGTTAAAAGACTATTATAATTTTGTAAAAGTATTTGGCTATAAACTAGTAAATGATTTTTTGGTTGTAGAATTATAGGTAATCCAAAAACCAATGTATTGTACTTTGGACAATTAGTGACCGGCAGTTTATTAAAATATGTTAGTTCCTTCAGCAAATGTTTAATTTTATGGCTAGGCCTCTACATTTTTAGGCTCAGGGATATAAGACAGAGAATGAATAAATATTCATCATAATGATGCTGTTGATGGTAGTATTCAGAGCAGACATGCAGGTATTAGCCTGGCTACTTTCTGTTTACATATTTTGTATTTGTTACGTTAAAATTAGACCAATTTGTATATTTTTATTTGAATCCAGGTACCGTTTCTAGCTTTTGGCTTATTCGCAGGTACTTGGAACCTTGTTGTTTTCCAACTGTCTCTCACAGTTAATTCTTCCAAACATCTTTCTTGATGCAGTAGAAGTTTATTGGTGCTTACATTTATACCCCTGAAACAAACTAAGCCAAAGAAAGGAGCAGTAAAGAAAGGAGCTTTTCTCCTGGGCCCCGCCTGGCTCTTCTAGATGGGCATCTAGAAGCCTTTTGTAGTGTAGTGTTAGCTCCTGTCTCTTCTACATGCTTAGATAGAACAGTGTTAGTTTTTCTCCTGGGCCCTCTCTGTCTCTTCTAGATGGACATCTGGAAGCTTCTCCGTAGCGTTAGCTCCTGTCTCTTCTACACGCTTAGATAGAACAGTGTTAGCTTTTCTCCTGGGCCCTCCCTGTCTCTTCTAGATGGATATCTAGAAGCCTTTTGTAGCCGTTAGCTCATGTGATGGTGATGGACTAGAGATTGAAGTAGCAGATTTTTCTTGTGGCTATATAATCATTTGGTTTGGCTTTTTCTTTATAATGCTAAAACTGTAACCTTTTGAAAAGGGAACTCGAGTTCATCCCAGAGATTGCTTTCAGCTTTACTATTTTCCATGCCCCATCCTTTGGTCAGTGTTAGCTCCAACCCAGGGTCTAAACTTTGCTGCCTGACTTCGTCATCCCCATGCCATAAGTTCTGTCTTTCTATTGTTCAGTTACATGGATAATAATACAAAGGAAGTAAGAATTTGCATTTATTTAGCTTTTTAGTACCATGCAAAAACTTGACAGAGTTTATGAAATGATTAAAATACATGTTTTCTTTGCCAGGTTGTGCTTTTCTCTCTTCCTTTTGAAATAGTATCTTACTCTAACTCTGGCTGGCCTGGACCTGGCTTTGTTGGCCTTCAACTCACAGAGATCTGCCTGCCTCTGGAGTCTGGGATTCTGGTAGTGAGTCACCACACTGAGCTCAGGTTTTTTTTTTTACTGCCTTTGTTGTTGTTGTTGTTGTTGTTACTTGTTTTTTGAGACAAGGTTTCTTTGTGTAGCTGTGGATGGCCTGGAACCTGGAACTCACTTTGTAGACCAGGCCGCCCTCAAACTCAGAGCCACCTGCCTCTGCCTCCTGACTGCTAGGATTAAAGGCGTGTGCCACCATCACCCGGCTTTGCTGCAGAAATTTAATGTAACTAAACGACTTTAAAACTCAATGATTTTTTTCTTTTTACTTATTTAAAAAATATTTTTCTTAAAACTTTGAAATTGTAATATAATTACTTCTTCTTCCTCCTTCTTTTTCTTCTAAACCCTCCCATATACCCTTTTCCTGGTCTCTTTCAAATTTACGGCCTCCCTTTTCATTAATTGTTACATATATGCAATATTTATTTCTAAATACAACCTACTCAGTGTGGCTGTTACTTGTGTGTGTGTTTTTAGGACTGACCATTTGCAGTCAGTAGACTGTCTCCCTCGGTCAGCACTCCTTCCTTGCCTTTTGTATAGGGTTGAGACCTGGTGGTCTCTCCCTCTCCTGTGGCGTGTCCGTTATTGCCCTTGCTCTGGCAGCCGTGCTGGGGAGACTTTGTGGTCTCAGCAGAGTCCTTCATCCTCTGGCTCTTACCGTCCTTCCACCCCCTCTTCCACAGTGTTCCCTCAGCCTTAGGTATGGGGGTTCTGGAGATGTGTCCATTGGGCCTGGCTCTCTGACTTTGCATTTTGCTTGGTTCTGGATTTCTTTAATGTGCACAGAGGCGTTTCGTTGATGAGGAATGAGAACACCGTGGGAGTTTAGAGCGCAGGTTAGAGATCATGGTGCCGTGGAAGTAGGTGAGAGACTGTCCCCGAGACCAAACCTCCCAGGCACTGCTCACTTCTTTATTGCTGCACTGTTATTTAGAGACATGCTAGGAAGCACGAGTTTGCTTGGAAATAGTCTCAGAGTCTCTTTTACTTGGAAATAGTCTCAGAGTCTCTTTTACTCAGTTTCACAGTAAAACTAAGGTTGTCTGTTTGATCAGAGCAGCCCATTCTCCTTGCTGCTGATTCCATCCTTTGGTCCACATTTTATAGCTTAGTGACTTAACTAAGAGGAAGGAAGAGAGATAAAAACCTGGGCCACATTATGAACTTGACAGGGACCTCTAGCCTATCACAGTAGTTTCTATTCCGCGCCATAATTTTAGGAAAGGAAAAACCTATCTCTGCCAAATTTCTGTTCAATGTGTAGTCTCTTGTTTTTAATTTGGAATTTAACTTACTGGTTTACTAACTTCTGCATTACATTTTGAAACATTAGAGAGAGAAAAGGCGAGCATTTTTAGGGCATTTTTTTTTTCAAGCTCTTTTCCATGTGTGCTGGGACAGAAACAAACACCTACCTCTGTCAGCTCTGAGATCCTGCTGGGAGAAGGCCTGGCTGGGCAGTAGTTCAGCAGTAGAGTCTGTGCCTAGTGTGGTCAGGACCTTTTGTTCAGTCCCAAATCCTGGAAAGAAAAATGGTGCTGCATGCCTGTAATTCCAGCATTTGGAAGACTGAGGCGGGAGAGTCAGGAGCTTGAGGCTACTCAAGAGCTTGCCTTTAAAAAGAAAGGGGAACAGGAAAAAGCATAATTTTACAAGTGATGGGTTTGTTAATCTTGGGTAGCTATCATAGTAAGGTTAAAAATACCCTCAGAATTTTTGGGAAAAAATGAACTTTTTTGGAATATTTTTAAATTATTTTTATTTGTTTGTTTTGCCCAAATGTATATCTGTGTAAGGATGTCAGATCTTGGAGTTACAAATAGTTGTGAGCTGCCATGTGGGTGCTGATGTGGGTGCTGGGAATCGAACTTGGGTCCTCTAGTTGAGCAGCCAGTGCTCCTAACCACTGATCCATCTCTCCAGCCCTCCCTCCCCTTTTGAAACATTTTAAAAGAGCATCATTTCTGGATAATTTGTAAGCTTCTTTACCAGTTAGTCTCTTAAAAATGTGAGTGGCGGTGGTAGGGAGTGTGTGTTTGTTGTTGTTTCTGTTCCTGTACACTAAAGACTATTCGAGGAAGAGCTCCAGATACAAAAAGTTACTTCCGGCACTAATGGGTCTCATAGGACCTGTTTTAGTCACATGACGCCAACATTTTTTTCTTTATAGAGCCACAGATGTTATACTTGATTCCCTCAGTATCAAAGTTGTGCCATTTGTGCCAATTTATCAAGCAGGGAAGCTCATTAGAGACAGGGCCTGGGGTGTGTACTGGGATCTGGCCATGTTGGTAGCCTTGGCTTATCACAGCAGATTTGATGCACTTGAGGTACCAAAGATTGATGCACACATTGCAATAATGTCTTACATGTCTTAAGGGTCATCTGTAGAACTCCGCCAAAGGAAAAAGCACAAGACTTCAGGAAGTCAGGAAGCCAGAGCGGAGAAGACCAAAAGCCCCACGGTTCCTGAAAGAGTTTCAAAATGTAAGTCACGTAGGTCTGGGTGGATGCCTGGGTGGTGTGGTACACCAGCTGGAAAAGTATGTTTTTGTCATGTCAGTGCGTGAACTTCAAAATTATTTCTTGCTTTTTGTGTTTTGAGGTGTTGGGAACTAAACCTAGGGCTTGTGTACCTGCCAGACAAGCACTTCCACTGAGCATGCTCCCATCTTACATAAAGATATTTTGAGATTAAACTCATCATTAACACAATTGTTTTTTTGCTACAGAATAGCCCCTAAACTGTATCACCGTACAATAAACATTTGTATCTTGTCTATGGTCTGGGTTGTGGCCATGGTATGACATGACATGATACGACAAACATTGATTTCTGAGTTATGTTACATGTTTAGTCACAGGTTGGCTTGTTTGGCTTCATGTCCCAGGAAGGAATAGCCACTCTTTGGCACATGTTTTTTTTTTTTTTCTGGGATGTAGGAAAAGAGCTGGAGAATGTGTAGAATCATACATGCCCCTTGGAGCTTCTGCTAGTCTGGCCCACTGCCATTTGTACTTCTGTCTGTGGTCCAAGCAAGTCCTAGTAAATCCAGATAATGGATTTACGGAAGCACACCATGACTACAGGAAACAAGTCGCATGGTCATGGGTAGAAATACATTATCTCCTGTCTCTATTCATTCATTTATTTTATCATATTGCAGAGCAAGCCCAGAGCTTTGAACATGTGGCTCATGCTGTCTGTGAGCTACATCACCATATAATCTTTGTGTAAGGAAGGAGAAAATGGTTGATAATATTAACACCATCTTACTACACTTTATACTTTTCCTTATAAATATTTGACCCTCTCTGTAGTAAGAGAGGCTGCTTGTTTGTTCCCGACTGCTCAGCCCTGAAATAACCACACAGAAACTGTACTAATTAAATCACTGCCTGGCCTATTAGCTCTAGCTTCTTACTAGCTAACTCTTACATCTTAATTTAACCCATTTCTATTATTTTATATTTTACCTCGAGGCTCGTGGCCTCCTGGCAAGATTCTGACTGGCGGCTTATGTCTTTCCCCTCTGGCGGCTCCATGGTGTCTCACAGACTCTGCCTCCTTTCTCTCAGCATTCAGTTTAGTTTCCCCTGCCTACCTCTATTCTGCCCTGTCAGGCCCAAGACAGTTTCTTTATTCATTAACCAATAAAAGCAACCCATATACAGAAGGACGTCCCACACCACCTCTCTCAGCCAAAGCACACCGTCCCTGCACTAAGGAAGACATCCAGTTTTATTTTGTCATAACATCAGTTTTAAAACTCTTATAATTGTCTTTAAACCATAATTCACTATAGTGAATAACATAAAGTCAGCATAGGGAAAGGCCTTTCGGGTAAAGTGTGTAGGTTACTGGACACACACTTCCAGAAGTCCTCTCCCAGCGGACCTGTAGGACCACCCT